ATTTTGAAAACAGTGTATTGCATAGGATGGAACCGAGTTAGCGCAGTCGGTGTAGCTACTGACTACGGGCTGGACGACAAAGGGGTCGCAGTTCGAGTCCCTGCTGGGGCGTGAAGCTGACCACTCACCTCTCGCTAGTGGATCTATACATCCACTCCCCCATACGCCTTCTTGGCTAGTGTTTAATTAGTTAAGCACAGGGACAACTTTACCTTTATGTATTGCATGGGAATAAATGAAGACGCAAACCATTGTATCTCTTTCACGTATATTGTATCTTGATAGGAAGGCCTACTAGGTTTAACTGACGTGTAAGTAGAAATTTTCTATGTCATATACGTCCGGTGTACGAACTCTTGTACTCTCTCGAAGCGTGAACGGTTGCTCTTGTTTAGTAACATGTTTTTAATATGAAGAAAGCAGTCTTCTAAAATATGGCGCCGTGTAGATATTGTGTTAACCGACGTTCCTCTGAAACGTCTGTTAACACAGTATCTATACGGTGCCACATCCAAGAAGACTGCTTTCTTCATAGTCACCGCCGTGAAGACCTCAAATCTTACATGTGTATAAGATGCTATTTTTTCTTGTAATGATGCAGTCTTCTTACTGGCAGATAGAAAATTGGATTCCTTGTTAGCACATGATTAATTCTGCTGATGATGTCTCCCTTGTTTCAGAGACCCTTCCTTATCTGCATTCTCCTTTGAGCGGTTATGTTATTCGCTAGTTTGCTCTTTGAAGTGCAGAGGGAGTGTAAGCTTACGAGTGTAGCAAAGGAAAATATTTCCCTGGTGATAAGAATTTATTTTCGTGCCCTAGTTCTTGACCTTTACTTGTTGCTATAACCTAAAGAATATAAAAACCGGAGCGGTATTTTATATTTGTTTTGTAGATATTTTCTTTGCGATGAATGTTTTTATATTCCCTGTAATATAAGTTCTTATTTAATAAACTCAGTTAAATCAGTTTAATTGATTTTACTTACTAAGTGTGTTATTACCGTCGTGAAGAATATTCATGGAGCAGAGTATTTCGTGAGACGCTGAAAGTCGCTTAGTTAGTCAAGAATGGTCACTCCATAACTCAAGCGGTTAGTCACTGGCTTCCCACCGCGGCGGCCCAGGTTCGATCCCGGGTCTGGTCAAGTGTGATTTGTGGTGGACAAAGTGGCGCTGGGGCAGGGTTTATCCGAGTACTTCGGTTTCCCCTGCCAATATTCATTCCACCAATTGCTCCACAATCACCCTCACCTATCATCTGGGGCTGGTACAGTAGGCCAGAAGTGGCCGCAGTACAAGGGACTTAGTCCCACCCCACTAGCAATAATAAAAGAATAATAGTCAAGAATTCTCAGTATCGTTATTATTAAAGTACACGTCAATAATGCAACAATATAAAATATATCAAGAATATGTCACTCACTAAAAATGTATTTCAATACTTTATGATGTTAAGATCATTAAAATGTCAGTAGAACACAAAGTAAATTTTATACATTAGAAGTGATATCAGAAGAGTATACAGAAAGACCGCAATAGTGACACATACACAATAAAATACGACACACAGAAACTACTACAAACAGCCGCAAAAGAATGCAACGGCTAGTCGTGAGATAGAACTAAACATTGACGTGCATGGGAGCACGGTGGACAAGTGAACAGTGCAGTGGTCTCCCCCCCCCCCAAATCACCTGATAATGGCTCATGTGAGGCCGAAACATATTGTAAAAGTAGAAACAATACATGTAAAACTAGAGACATTTCAGAAATGTTGATATCATTTTTAATGTATAAAATATACTTTTAGTGTCCTATTGACATTTTAATGATTTTAATATCATAAAGTATTAAAATACATTTTTAGTGAGTGACATATTCTTGATGTCTTTTATATTGTTGCATTCTTGACGTATACTTTAATAATAAGGATAGTGCCTCAATGCAACGGGATGCTGAAATATAATACAAGAAGTCTCAGGCTTTGATGGCGGTCTCCCAGTTCATTGCTATTATGCATTTTATTATTATTATTATCATTATTATTAATAATGCTCCGCTGCTGCTACTACTGCATTGTATTGCATTTATTCTCTCCAACACGAAGCATGAGGAAGTGTTGTGATGGCGAACGGATTTGTACCTCTTCATCTCCCCTCAATACGGAAAGATGTATGTTAGTCTGTTTATCTTCTGTGTATGTGTGTGTTCGCCTTGCTGGCGCCCGAACGCTTGAACACATATTATTCATATTCGATATATAAGAGTCTAGCGGGTATAAGTCGGTGTCCTGTGGATATGAACGTTCCAGCTAAAGCAATGGAGGCCCGTCACGTAGGCCTCAAAAATAGATTATTAATTTTCTCGAAGGAGCTCCAACGATTTTGATGAAGTTTCACGAGCCCTACAACTGGTATTTTCAGGAAAACAGCGGTACGCTCACTGTTCATGCAACTCTTGAATACTCTATGTTGCATACTCAGTGGCCGACAGTGTCAAGGTAACGTCAAGGTCAGCCGTGCTTGCAATGTTTTTGCACCCAGTTTTGTATTGTGTTATGAGCTGGCTGGCATATAGTTAGCGCTATAGACTCTGTTCCGAAGGTAACCGGTTGAAATCTCGACCGTAACATGGGCTAAGGTGTTTCATGGTTTTCATCAGCCACTTCAGCAAATGATGGGAGACACGACCGCTTCCTTCCTCATTCTTTCTAATTCAACATTTTGTCTCTGGTTCTGTATGGGTGTTAAACTTGGTCTCTGACAGTAAGGGAGGAACATAGACTGAGGGTGTTGAGGAGAATATTTGGACCGAAGAGGGATGAAGCGATAGGAGGTCGGAGAAAACTGAATAATGAGGAGCTTCATAACTTCTTCTTCTCTTCTCCGAGTATAATTAGAATGATCATGTCAAGGAGAATGAGGTGGGCAGGGCATGTAGCAAGAATGGGAGAGAAGACGAATGCATATAGGATATTGGTGAGAAAGCCAGAAGGAAAGAGACCACTGGGAAGACCAAGGCGTAGGTGGGTGGACAATATTAAAATGGATCTTGGAGAGATAGGATGGGATGGTATGGATTTGATAGATCTGGCTCAGGATAGGGACCAGTGGAGGGCTCTTGTGAACACGGTAGTGAACCTTCTGGTTCTATAAAATGCTGGGAAATTCTTGAGTAGCTGCACAATTGGCGGCTTCTCAAGAAGGGCTCAGCTCCGTGAGTGACAATAGCGTTGTATCCTATAAACGTCGTGCCCATGTAATGATTAATACGATTTCAGCATTAAACTGAGTCCGAACCCATGCTCTTGAGGTCTCTTTTTATCTCCATTTCCGTTCCCATTGGAACATATTCCAGTTTTTCATTCCCGTCGCTGTATGATAACACGATGTGAAGTTATCATTTAATCAGCGACATTGCTATGGAAAACGATCTGCCACATTGTCACTTCAATCCTATATAAAAATAACATTGTTTTGCTGTTACGTTTTTACGAAATCTCCATATATATTGAAATTGGCAGAAAGGCCCACTACAATACACATTCAGTCAAGTTATGTGTGGGGGTTTATTTATTACAAATGCTATGACGTCATATGAACAGAAAATGCTCCGAGCGCCTACAGTTTACACCTACATCAATTCATATTTTTCTTGGTTCTCAGTGGACTTTACTGTACTAAGCCCTATACAGGGAATGGAAAATTATCCTTTCAAACTCTGTGAGCCTGACGCTACAGTTCGAGATTAAATCGTCTCATCCTTCCGTGTTCTGAAAGCTCCGAGTTTGAGCTGCCTGCATCACTTCTCATTACAGCAGTTTTGCGGGAGAGGAGCTGCATCTATAACATTATACAGACTACGCTTTGAACGGTTTAATGCACGTTTCTTCTGTTATATACACGTCTGTTCCACAGAATTGCTGGGTGTTTGGACTTTTTCCATCGACCGGGATTCTAGATAATAGAAGACACGACGTTTCGGAAACTGAATGTTTTCGTCTTCGTCTTCACCTAGTGAGGTGGGCCCCTTAGAAAAAATTAATCTTAATTACTGTGATCCGAAACGTCGTGTTTTCTATTCCCTAGAATTCCGGACGGCGGAAAAAGTCCAAAAACCCAGTAAATCTATGTCTCATCCACCATCATCAGAACCGTACATACATCTGTTGTTTATGTGAATTTTACTTACTTAGTTTGTAACTCTGGTTCCTCCCAAGAAATGTGTAAAAGTGTGTGTGNACCAGACACATATCAACGATGTAGATGTTGATAATACGAAGAATGTGACATTGTGTTTTTAAATGTTAAATTTTAGACTGGGTTCAGTGTGGCAGCAACGTTAAGAGTATACACCTGATGATGGCCGATAGAGGCCGAAACATGTAGTGTAGAAAGAACAAGATTAAAGACATATAATATATATTGTTTGCACTTGGGACGGACTTTGTATCATTTGTCATTCATTGTAAATTCTATATTTATGTCTTCAAAAGTAAAATACGTAAAGCTTAATTAAGCACTAAGTCACGAAGACGTGTGGTACAGTGGAAGTGTAGGTCTATGGATTCTTAATGTCGATAATGTTTTAGGCTACTCGTCAGCTTCATGCTCCAGCCGCATTACACCTGAATGGGTGCGCCCCACTGCCGGTGTGCAGAAGAGAAAAATCTTTTGCCTCTGCAGAGAATCGACACCGCAATTCCTCGGTTATTTAGCCCATACTCCAGTCACTTCTGACTGAGCTGTTCGGCTCCTGTATCTTCATCCAGTCGCAGATGTACGATCGTTACTTTAGAATTTTGTTTCCGTCTGTTCGGATGAGTTCACTTTCACGGGCTGTCTGTTGTATGTCGCTTACGTGCATCGCTCCTGGCTTAAGCGTAAGAAAGAAAAGCTGCGCGCCAAGTCGCTCCATCAATTTGAACACAACAAGGAGTTTATACCGGCAGGCAGACAAACAGGTCGGCTGGCTAGGGCCGATCGAGCGGCGAGCAAGTTTCGTTCTCTCAGTGTCGGTTGGGATGGCGGCGCTGACGGACGCTGCTCCGCCGTCGCGACGCCAACAGAATCGTTTGTGGGAGTCCGACGCGTGGAGCTGTCCCGATCCCCAACGCTGCGTTCGCTGTGACAGTGCTGTAACAAGCCCCGCAACTCCTTGTGCTGGTGTTGTTAACTTCGTCCTTGATAACCAAGCCGCAGACTGTGAGGATGAGGACCACGGGAGAAGCCCGGAAGAGGACAGTGAAAGATGGTTCCTCGTGGGATGTAAAAGACCGTATCAGTACGAGCCACTTGTGCAGGGAGACGCGGACCTCGAGGAGGGCGATGAGGAGGGTGAGGAGGAGGAAGAAGATGATGAACTTGATGTTTTGTTGGTGGAACAGAAATCGTCATTGTTGTTACCTGTTGATGAAGATGAAAGGTAGAGTCTCAAGTCTATAGTAGTATGAGTATTATGGCAATGTAGGCCTCTTGTGAATAATAATTTGGATGTGTCGTGCCAAATAGCTGCCTTCTTCATATCATATTACCCTTGTGAACAGACTTCAGCTAATGGTTATGTTCAGGGCGGCTTTAAGACAATCTCCACCCGTGGGCAAAATATTATCTTGGGGCCTCTCTCTCTTTCCGTTTTTTTTAGGAAAAAGCCGTACAATTTATCATTACGGGATTTATTTATACAAACGAAAGCGAAATAGATAGGAAATGATTGAAGCACACAATCCAAAAATTACCTGTGTTCAAAAGTGGTCTATAAAACACACTGTACCTACATGTACATACATACAGCTGTAAGTTGATGTAACATAGACTAAAAGAGTCTGCAGGTTATTCATGATATATTTGGAAATAGTCGCTGTGGCTGCCCCTAAATTGAGGGAGCCTTGGGGAAATACCCAAATTGCCGGCTGAATAAAGCGGCTATGCTTGCGTTGTTCGATTTTTGAACATGCAGGGTAATTCAATCTAAATTATGCATTTCGCTGTTATAGTCACTCGTGTTATACTTCTGAAGCGTTTGAGTATTTGCCAAGTAGTTTCAGCACTGTATAGTGACCTCGCACTTTGATAATCTTCGTCAATCCAGCATTGCTATGTAGAGGATCCATTCTGGAAGATTTTGTTTTGCAGGATTGTGCTTTAATGCTGTTAGATCACCGCAATAAGAAATAGCGCGCTGATTAGTGTCCTGCTTTCAGGAATCTTGTTTATGTTTTATTCAGTTTGTCCTTTTTCACTTGAACAAGCTCCATTTCCAAACAAGAACCTATGAGTTTGTAAATCACGGTTGTCATCAGATTGTTTTAATTTGATCATGAAGGTTTAGATTTTGTGTTTACATTTTTTCGCTTAATGGCGGGGTGGAGTCCAGCTGGGTCCACTCGCCAACTGATTGGCCTATTGTAGCCTGCCACGGGTGATTATGATGATGGAGAATTTGGTGGAATGAAGACTGGCAGGGGAAACCGAAGTATTCGGAGAAAACCCGCCCGAGCTCCACTTTGTCCACCACAAATCCCACTTGACCAGACCCGAGAAGGAACCCGGGCCGCCGCGGTGGGAAGCCAGCGGCTAACCGCTTGAGCTATGGCGCGGCCTTTGTGTTTACATTAGTTTTCTCGTTAACGTCGCTTACGGAGGATAAGGACTATATTCTGCCCCCTCCCCCTCTCGCGTATAGTTAATAATTTGAAACGCGCCGCTGCTATGCTCTCCCGGTTTGCGAATGTGTTTCAAGATTATATGAAGCAGCGAGAAATTAATTTTTTTTTTAATCTTTTCTTTTTGTTTGTTGCTATCACCCAGTGGTCGTTTTTATTACGTTGTTGTGGGCAGGTATGATCCTGGTTTACGGCTGTTCTGGGCTCCTGTCCGCACTCCACTCTTCAATATCATTGAAAGGTAAAGTTGCCCTGTGCTTAACTAATTAAGCACTGCGCCATGAAAGCGTATGAGAGAGATCCACGTTTTCTAGACTTTGGCACTAGCTGGAGATCAGTGGTCAGTTTCACGCCCCGGCCGCTTTACCCCCGGTACCCATTGGATAGGAGGTTGGGTGGACCCCAGAGCCGGTCTGGACGACACGGAGAAATGAAAATTCTTGCCCCCACCGGCACTTGAACTTCGATCCATTGGTCGTCCAGCCCATAGCCAGTCGCTGTACCGACTACGCTATCCGACTCTTTCATTGAAAGAAGGTTTCAGTAAATTTGGTATTTGTAGCCCACGTGGACCTGCTCATGCTACTTCGCTAGACCTAATGGTGAGGACCAGGCTGCCGCTTGGGGCGGCACGATTTACAGCCGCTCTGTTAAAATATCATTTGCTGTGTTCATGTTATGAACATTAATTGAAAATAATTTAAACGTGTTATACAACAGTGTAAGTAAAACGTTTAAGCATTACAACAGCGTTCAGCAGACTGCTTGGCGGTTTTGTATCATTAATTGTGACGAATGTCGATCTATTTTTTAAATGAGGGGGCGGTGGAATTTTTCGTCGTCTAGGGCGGCATTTGGACTTCCANGGCGAATTGCGAGTTAAGCCAGGACCAGTGACGTAAGCAATGATAAGTTCATTAGAGTTCTTGACATACAAGATGGTGGCAGCATAACAGTGGTGGAAGCGGTGGGGATACCTCCACGCCCCCGCCACCACGCCGTAACAGTGGAGACAGCGGTGAGATAACCAATCCACCCCTGTCGTAAGGGCGTAAGGGCATAACAGTGGTGGCAAGGAGGGATACCTCCACGCCCCCTGACACCACGGCATAACAATAATAATAATAATAATAATAATAATACATTGTGAATAGGGCTGCTTTCGTGGTACATCTAGTTGCTGCATTCTGCTGCAGATCTTTATATTACTCCTCTTGTTTGAAGGTGGGTGCGGAGTGCTCGAATCAGATATTCCCTTTTCACTGCATGTCTTCAGACTCCGGTCCTGTTGCCCCGCCAGAGGAGTGTTCATTACTGCCTGAGTTCTGGGCTATAATATACGGTACGTGTGCACATTGTAGGCGATTCTTCAGTTGTTTGAATTTTTAATATAAGGAAAATCTTTCGATCTAAGAATTATAATGAGTTATTAGAATATTACGGGACGAGGAACTTTGTGGTTAACACATCCGATCTAGCGTAGCTTGGGTAGTGAAATCTATGGCGCTCCGGTGGGCTGAAGGAGAAGTGCGCACAGAATGTTGGTGGAGAAACCTCTTGAGACTCGTCCGCTTAGATTGCCGAGATGGCATTAAAGTAGAGCATAAGGAGGCACGTTATGACCAGGGCCCGGAGTTTGATGACCTGAAAATATTAAAAAAATGACCTATAAAATGACCGAAAAAATCCAGAAAAATGGCCTAAAGGAGAAAAGAAAGAACACTTCGCTTCCATGTTATTCACATTTCAGAAAACATATGAAGAAAAATTCCCTAAAATTGCCAAAAATGACAAGAAATACCCTTAAAAGTCCAAAAATTTACCAAAAAATTACCCCCAAATGAAAAAAATGACATTAAACCTAAAAATGTCAAAAAATGACAAAAATTACCCATAAATTTGATTTGTTTCATTCTGGTGCGTCACACTAACAATTATAAACACCAGGAAGCTGCTGTGATTGTGAAACGTTCGACTTGATGCGTACTGTGCATTATAGGATATAAGTGTATGTATTTTAAATCAAAACACCTATTGTGGTGGTAGTTTCCAGTTTGTAATAATGTTTCCTCTGAAGATGGCCCGTAAGGACCGAAACATGTAAGGGAGATAAGTTTTAACGTAGTAAAAACTTACATGTCACATTGGACGGAGTGGTTTGTATTTATAATTACCTATAAAATTTACATTTATGTAACCAGCAGCTCATATCCGAGATTTATATATTTAAGAGCATCGCATAGGATACAAGGAAAAAAAGATGACATGTCATCAAAATCCGGGCCCTGGTTATGACTATGAGAAGTGGATGCAACTCATTCAGTATCGTTGCCATTGATGGCCTTTGGTGTTAACGAAGTCTGCTGTCGGATTATTAGTTTTTATTTCTGTATCTAATCTGTGGTAACTTAAGTGGCTCCCTGAGAGACAGTTTGATTCCAGGCCTTCATGATTGTCTTGGAGGTGGGAACTGCGTTTTGTTTCAACAGTATTGCACTTCATTCTATATCTGTTTATATATGGATTATTTTGCGATGTTGTCCGTAGCTTACGTCGAATGGTACGGTGATTAGTGATTAATAATGATTGGGCAGGATACGTGACGAGGCGATCATGGTCTAATTTGGGGTACGGTCCCACCGTTTGCCCGAGGGAACTGAGAACATCGCGAAGACTTCAGGTAGAATAGTTGGTGTCCAGGTCGAAATTCGAAGTCTGCATCTCCCGAACTTTCTCTGCTGTACCATGTCACGTAAATTTACAATTGAGTGCACTAAAAGACGGACATTGTTTATATATCATGGACGAAGATCAGTGCAACAGGACGCTAAAATACAACATTATGAATGTAGGTCTGCCTGTGGTCCTCATAAGCTATGTGACGTGAAAACAGTTTGCTGGCCCCGTACACCATTGTGTGTTTATTATCCTTTCAGTTTTGCCTCATCATTTGGTAACGGGTTGGGGGAGGGGGCTGCCAATCGTGCTCTTCTCGCGGAACCACGAACCTATCATTCTTCAGCACGGCTGACAGGTGCATGTGGCTCGTTTTAACTCAATAAATAACGTTACATTGTGCAGTTTATGACATAATAGCATCTTATAAAGATAGCCAAAGTGATTTTTTTAATCGGTTATGGAACGCTTCCGAAACTGCTTTCCTTTCGTGGAATGTGCTCAGAGACGCGCCTTCATTGCTTAATGCAGTTTTCGTGTTTAACACATGACACACATTAAATGCGGCTTTGGTTTTATTTTACACCTTTGTAAGTATTATTATTGTTAGTTTCATGTTGTGTTAGCACACAAATAAGTAAGAATTGATTTAGTTATTGTTATAAATATTAACTTGTATATGTGTGTGTACATGTATTGAAATTTCTCGCCACATAATGGCATAACCACTGGAAATGTACTTATTTTATTTTTCTCACCTGATAATGTTAACTTTATTTTCTCTTGGAATTATTATTATTATTATTATTATTAATTTATTGCCTTTATGTAGAGTATTATTTTTTATTTTGATTTTTAGTTATTTTTGTGTCCTACGTACTAGTGCTAACTTTGTAATTGGCCTGTATGCTGTTAAGTTTGCGCGTAAATAAACACGAATTGAATTATCGTCATCATCGGACAGTTCCTCAGTTGATTGTTGTGGACACTAAATGCCCAAATATGTTCGTGGTTTTATGACTGTCAGTTTGAAAGTGTTGGGGCGAGTAAGTTAAAGAGCGCATTTCTACTTTCCTAAAGTAGG